GGTTTGCTGTAAGCAATTACATAAGAGTAATGGCTGAAGACTTTCTAGGGCAAGTACCAATTGCCTGATACTGTTAAGGACTTTGGTGGCAATAGCGCTACTAGGAAGATCTGTGAGAAAGCCTGGGCTTGTTGCAGTGAGGTCTCAAGTTCCATAATTATTATGGCAGAAACATGTCTTATAGGACTTTTCATAACAAGCCAAAGAGTACAGTGATACCCTGGTTGAAATCAGTAAAGCAAAATACCTTTTCATATTATGGTTGGACTTTAATGGTAGCTGCAGGGATACCTGGAAGAGGAAAAAAAAATGTCTGGAAGTAGGAGTTACTTTTTTTGTTAGGAACTAAAGCCAATCTCAGAACCCTTTTTGCAGACTATCAGGATGCAGCAGGTTATAAGCTTGAGTGCCTGGTTGTATAGAAGTTGAGAATGAGGTATTTCAGTTTTGAGCTGCTTGCCCTACATTAGCAAATCTTCTCATTCTTGGATGCAAAGGTGCTTGGTAGATTGGAGCCCAAAACACAGTGAAAAGCAGGTTGGAGGATGTTGCTGAGTCATAGTCATATATTTATTAGAAGATTGACCTGAAAGGTGTGAATTTTGTCACTTAAGGCTTTTGAGTGGGAGCTTTTCCATTGAGTATAGGAGAGCTTTGAATCAGGCCCTCAGATGTCACTTGGAAGTTTGCCTTTCGTTTGATCTGGCATTCGTCAGTGTTTCTTCTTTGGCTTGTTTTGGTTTTGTAATTTCTGCCCTGCTATGTAGGGCTTAGATTAAAAGTTCTCAGTAGATTTTTATTGTCCTTGGAGAAAACAGCACTGTGAAGCTTCCTATTATTTTCTGCCTTTTCAATGTGTTAACTGCATTTGGTTTGCTGACAGTGATGAGGCTTTTTGTCTGCTCTGACTTGAAGAACTTAACACTTAGGATGAAAAGTTTCCAGAAGAAAATTTGTATCTACATGTTTTGCCAGTTATAATAATGCTTTTAAATGCCTTTTATGCACAAATAGTTGTGGTAAAAAATGATTTATGTTTTCATGGAGATAGATGTTTTGGAGTAACACCAAGGACTACAGTCCAGGACTGTGTTAACAGAAATCTGTGCCAAAGCAGAGCCCACCAGTTTCTGTTTGCATGCCCTGTTTCAAGTAAGGGCAAATTTAAGTTATTCTGCATTATATCTTGATCCCATTCAAGCTGTGCTTTATTTAAATGGAAGAAGTCTGAAACTCTTATATATGATTAAGGGCAGATTAACAAGAATGCAATCAAAACTAAAGCACTTTGCAGCAACACATTGAATAAATGTAAGCTATAACATTAGAAAATTTCCAATTTCTTAGGAAAATGCACTTTACTGTTTTACTTGTCAGTGTTGAACCTTGGTGGTTTTTTGAATTTGAGAATGAGTGTTGCATTTTAACTCCAGCTGGCAGCACAACACCATGCAACCACTCACTTATTCCCCCCCAGTGGCATGGAGGGGTTAAAGTGAGAAAACTCAGGGGTTGAGATGAAGACAGTTTAATAGATAAAGCAAGAGCTGTGTATGTAAGCAAAGCCCCAGGTTTCCATTCCTTCAAAGTTTGTCATTTCAGCTGATCGTAAGGTAGCCTCTGGCATGGATCTCTACATGATCTAGGCTGGAAGTGTGTATTTAAAAGGCTTGTTTTTTCCTCCCTTGTTGTAATCTGAATAATATAATGGCCAGTTTCCATTAATTCCAAATGTTTGAGTTTATGCAACAGAGGAAGTAGTGACCTGCGTTGAAAAGGAAGAAATGAGCAAATCTAGAAGGAAGAGCTGAAAGTTTCTCCACCTAGAAAGTTCACTTGAGCATAAGGTAAACATTCATCATCATAGGAAATAGCCCGTACTTCTCAGGTGCCTGAAGATAAGCATGTAAAGCAAATTGCATGCTTGTTCCTTAGCATTACAAAATTGGGGGCATCTTCTGAACTACTGGAGTAGACAAAGCTATTTTTTAATTACATAATAAATGTGAAGTTTGTTCTTGTTGATGATGTCCTGTGTGGTACACAAAATCTAGATAAATCAGTGAAGACATTTGCCTTGAAGTGCCATTTACAGATCTTCATGACAAATAGTTGACGGGCAGGTGCTTTCCATGGTTCCCCACATTGTGTCTTGGCAGCCTGTTGGATCCCTGTGTGAATGCTTTTGCAGAGTAAGGCAGTTCTTATCCTGGAGCAGTTCTGCTCATGAAGCTATTCTGTGCTTTTGTGGCTGGTCTTGTTCCTGCCTGGTCAAGGCCTTCTGAAATGGATTGCGCCTTTTTGCTCCTCTGCCAGAAGTTACACAACCTACAGTCAAAAGTTCAGAGGCCTTGGTACCAGGGAGGACTTTGATTTGTGAGGAATCTCACTCCCAATAAGGAAGGGTATGGATTAAAAATACCATAGTTGTTCCACTGTTTGTTTGGTTTTGGGGTTTTTTTCCTGCTCAAGAAGGGTCAGTGAGGCTTACTGTAGTCTGCTTCAGAAATGGATTCAGGTAAATGCTAAATAGGTGGGGTTTTCCACTGGTTTAACAAGCTGCTAAGCAGATCTGGAGTTTTGCTGCTACCAGCAAGAAAAATGTTGCTGCCTCCTCTTCCTCTCTGCTGTTTGGTATGGGTATGCCTTCTGCCTGACACCAGCTGTGGAGCTCACAGGACTCTTCCCTGAGCTTGTTTGGCTAGTGGGATACTGTCCACAACTTTTCTTCTCCTGGGTTAGTTTTCTCCTAAGTTAGTGAGTTGGTTTAGCTCATGTAAGGGTCTTTTGGCTGCCAGAGCTGTTGCCAAGTACCCAGACAGCAACACATATTAAAAACCCAGTATGGGTAGGCTTGTCCCCTTTTGATAGTAGTGATTAGTTAGATTGGTTCACCACACATCAAGGAGCACTTTGCAGTTCATAGGGGAGATAGCACTCAACAGCCACCACCTTTTAGACTGGGATGAACAAAAACCAAGGTGGTGCTAGGGCAGGGTAAGAGCCTCACTGGATCTTCCTGCAGTGGTTGTGGATTCCTGCAGATGTGCTTAAGTAACACTGATGCTTATGGGCAGGGCTCTTGCCACTATGTCTGAGGATTATCCAGAGTGGCTCCATGGCCCAGGTTCTCCTACACTACAAAAAGGTATCTGCTGATTGATTTCTGGGAAGAATCGATTCATCGGGAGTGCGGGTTATTGTAATTGCCGTTAATGGCTGGAATTTTATGGAGAGCAAGCATGTGACGCACAGAGCACTTTCTGCTTTGTCATCCTGCCTGTGGCAGGTTGCCCAAACCAGCAAGGGAGAGGCCCCTTGCAGCACCTGCATGCAGACTCTTTCAAGTCTCTGCCAGAGTTTGCCTTTGGGTTTTGGGGCTATTATTAAAGCTTAGCACTTCTAGCACAGACCTACCTGAAAGTAATTAGAGATATTTATATAAATACCTCTGCTAGAAAAAGGCTAGATTTTTATCTCATTGAAGATAGAGCTTTAGGTGAACATTCCTGAGGTTGTTCAGACTTGTTACAGGAAAAAAATCCAAGGTTTCAGTTGCTTCAGGTACATGCAGGACTGTAGCTTTGATAGTACACTGAAGAAAAATATTCTGCGTTGTGAAGACTGTGACCAGCATTCAAAACCTGTGTCCTTGCTTTTCTCTTTATATGCATGTGTATGTACACAGATTAATTCCTACATCCCTTTCTCAAGCTAGAATAGGCCAGTTATTATCCATCACTAGCATTAACTATGGCATAACAATTCTGATCTTCAAACCCCTTTACCAACGTCAGCAAAGTACCCTTCCCAAGACCTTTGTAAGATAAAGGAATATTATCACCAAGTTTCAGAGAAGAAATCTTAGACAGTGAAATTGCAGCACAATTTTCAGTGACTGCCTTTAGGCTTGCATGTGCGTATGTCTGTGAATGCTCCTCAGGTTTGTGGGCTCATTGCCCAAAGAACGTATACGCATTCAGTATGGCTGTTTAAATATGTGCACGTGTCAGAGTTTGCTCACTGATGCTAGTTGTGCAGTGCAAAGTATGTATGTGATTAAGTACAAGCATGTACTGACCCATTTATTGGAAATTCAGCTTAAGATAACTCAGTTATGTGGAGGAAGGCAGAGATGATGATGGATTGCAATAAAATAATAGATTTTCTTCTTTTTTTGTTTTTCCATGCCATGTCAAATAAAGTATCACCAGTGTTCAAGGCCAGGTTGGATGGGGCTTTGAGCAGCCTGGTCTAGTGGGAGGTGTTGGAACTTGATGAGCTCTAAGTTTCTTTCCATCCCAAACCATTCTATGATTATATGTGTAAATATGTACTTTTTTCCTTTCTGCTAATATGCTTAAGCTTTCCTCCAATACATATATAAAATCAGCTATGACCAGTGGGCAAACAGATCTTTTGAAGACTTTGAATACATTTGTTTAGAGGATTTCACAGTATGAGCGATACTGTATGACAGGAATTAGGTGGGCAATGCATGGAAAAAACAGTGATATCAGTAAATTCAACGGGAAGAAGTTCGCAGGGAGCTAATTGCAGGAGAAAAATAGAACTTTTAAATTCAGTTTAAAAAATACAATACTGAAAAAATACAGCAGATCAGCATGAAAAAAAATTCCTTTCTGGGCAAGAAAGGTAAAAACAGGAATTCTGCTTTAAGACTGAAGTTTCAGGATTAGCCCCAGCAAATCTTATTTCCTTGCTTTGTTCCAGGCATGTTGTTAGATTGGCAGAAAGTACTGAAATCCCAGCCAACTCTTGTATGGGATTTTATTAAAGAGAAAAATATAGCAAGTCATCCTAACGTTGCAAATGACTCATCAGTAGCCTTAGGAAACGCTCCCCCGAGACAGGCATGCTGCTGAAGAGGAAACGATGAAGCTGCCAGGCCACTCCCCCAGACGGTTTCCCTTGAGGAGCGCAGCCTTCATAAGGGAGGTCTCTGCAGACACTACGTTATTTTACTCTTTATTTCACAGAGGGAGCACAGAAGCTGCAAGGAGGGCAGCGCCATGTAACGGCAGAAAGTTCACAGCCATTTGGTTTTGTACAGGACAAGCAAATAGAAGAGGGTGAGAAAACTTTAAAGGTAGGTGGAGGTATGCTTTAAAGTCTGATTTAGTTTTGACATTGAAAAATAATGAGACTGTAGGCTTTCTTTTTAAAAGTGTAGTTCTTGGGAGAAGAATTGTGGAGATCCATGATCGGGATGGGATCGTGGTCATGAACGACTTTCCCCAGTAAATGGAACGTGGAACTTGTCCTTGTGGCCACTCCGGAGCGGGATTCTGGGAGGTGGTTTCAAAGGGGAAGGCTGTAATGTACTTTGATCTGAACTTTAAATATGTTTTCATGAAGAATGATTATGAAGAACTAATGAAAAATGAACCAAACAGTAGGGAATAAAAGCTGAAGTTTCTTAATCCGTGTGAAAACAGGAAGCATTTTTCTTAAAAGACAAAAAGAAGTAGCATGATACAAGTAGTGATTGAAGGAAATTTTATGAGTAGGTGTTGTGGTTTCTCTGTATGCATCATAAAGATCCCGTTCTTAGTACCTGGGTCTAATGACTGTGTGGGACTTAGTCTGCACTTAAGTTTCACATCATGATGTTGCCACTGAGCAAACAAGGTGTGCGTTGGGAAAGAATGGCACACCTTGGCTACTTCTGTGCCCCTAAATGTGAATAAAGTGAAACTGTGTATCATAATGCAACATGTGCTCCTTTTTGACTCTTAGCCTGCAGTAGGAAGTTTAAGCCTGGCCAATGACTGTGTTGGAAAACTAGAAAAAAGGGGAACTGAACGCAGTGATTCAGTGGCAGGGTTATGTGTTTGGGTGGTGGGGTGAGAGAAGAGGAAGGAAGATGAGGTATTTTTGGATGTTTTCACAGCAGCCACAGGTGTTTTCTAGGTTTTGTTTCTACTATTAACATCCTTCCCAGGGTTATGAACTCTATGAAAATACGACTTTCTACAGGTAGATGCATAACCTGAATTTCCGCTGGCATTGCTGTGTAACTTGCTGGAGGGATAGAGGGTATTTGTGTATGCTAGCAGCAGTCTCTGGGGTAGATGCAACTATACTTAGAAGGAAGGAATAATCTAACCTCAGAGGAAGGCAAGAGTAGAATGGGTTAAGCACCAAGTTGCTTAATGCGAAACAAAAATCAGATTAAAATAGAAAGGAAACTTCACTGGGGTTTGGGGTTTTTTGGTGGGTTTTTGTTTTGTTGGTTTTTTTTTTCATTCCTTTTTTTTTGCCATGACTATTCAGTAGTACTGAACCAAGTCCTACCTAGTTAGGCAGATAGAAACACTTGAATAAAAATGAGCAGATTTGTGGAGTGACTAAGTATGGTTTTCTTAATTTACTTTTTTGGTCCTGAAAGTTTTGTTATTACTTTAGTTGATACTCACAGATTTACACCAGCTGAGGAGTCTGATTTTTACTCACTCTAGTCTTGTCCTGCAGTTGGGGAGATGCTGAGAATTTTGTCATGCATTCCAAAGGCTTGAAGGTCCAAAAACCAGATAAACCAGAGCTTCACAGATTAAGTACAAAGGCTCATTTTGGAAAGAGTATGAAGACAGTGCAGTGTTCTTCATGGCAGATAGGTGTCAAAATGTATTTTAGCGCTTGTGGGTTGTTTTTCTGTGGTAGTCATATGATTAAAAAAATTAAATCTCATGTGAAATTGTAGTGATCACACTTGACCCATTTAGTGCCAAAGTTAGTTACAGTGCTAAACCAATGCACTAATAAACACAGGCATGTTACAAAAATGTAGTTTTCAGAAATTTCCTTCTTCATCCAGTTCTATTCAGTTGGTAAGACTGGTAATTACAGATTATCACAGTGTTGTATACAGTTGCTGTATTTTCCTCCTAATACATGCATGAAGAAGGGAAAAACACTAATTAGATAAGTCCAGGGCAGATGAAAAGAATAAAACAAATTGGTAGAACGCCTGTGTCAGAAGAGGTGTTTCTCAACCTGGAGTATGGAGTATGAGGAGGCACTAGAGTTGCGTTGATATGGAAAACTAAGCTCTACAAGGAAACCTAGGACTCCAACAGTCGAGAAAATGCATAGTTTAGTATCTAGTAAGTTCTGAGCCATTCAAGGACAAATTAAGAAGATGACATTTTTACAAACTAATTAAAAGCAGAGCTCAGAAAATTCAGATGCACTTACGTTCCCTTAGCACAATATTTGCTGATGAAAATACTAGGTTTTGATCTCTGTGGGTAGTGTTTCATTGTTCCCTAATCCTCTTTATTTTCCATGTTCAGGCACATAAGGAAGGCAGTCTTCGAAAACAGGAAGAAATGAACGGGCATACAGCGGTGCCGCATTCCTACGACTATGATCTCATTGTCATTGGTGGGGGCTCTGGTGGTCTGGCAGCTGCCAAGGTATGAGAAAGAAAATACAGATTTATACTTGCCTTATAAGTAGGTGGGTGACATCCTCAACATCTTGGATCTGGGTATCTTTAACACTGTAGAGACATAATGTTTCTATGTGATCAGTGGGATTTCTTTTGAGGTTAGCCCCATTTTTACAATAGTATTTTTCTTATGTTTTGGAGCAGGAAAGCATAAAAATGGTATACCTCTTAATAGAATAGATAGAAACTTTGTCCCCACTAATGGGAAATGATGCTTTTGGGAAACAGCAGGTAGGTGTCTCAACAGTGTTTATTATTAGTTGAATTAGAATTCAACTCATAATTGAAAAAGTTTTAAAACCTATTCAAAATTAATATTGGGAGGTTTCTAGTTTTATCTGAAAGTAGCTGTTCAGAAATAGTTGTGCATGTTGTTTTACTTCTTGACAATCAGGGAAATTTTGTGATTTATGAGCTTATATAGTAGCATAAATGGAGATTTTGCCTGTACTTCAGCAGGGTTAGGTTTTCACCCTTCATTTCTAGGGTCTGGTACTTCCTGTCTGTAGCCAAATAATTTATGATTCTCAGTTAGGGTATTGCTCTTAGAAGCATATTTAGAATTAATGAAGAGAATCTAGAATCATAGAATTATAGAATAGTTAGGGTTGGAAAGGACCTTAAGATCATCAAGTTCCAGCCCCCCTGCCATGGGCAGGGACACCTCACACTAAACCATGCCACCCAAGGCTTCGTCCAACCTGGCCTTGAACACTGCCAGGGATGGAGCATTCACAGCCTCCCTGGGCAAACCATTCCAGTGCATTACCACCCTAACAGGAAAGAATTTCCTCCTTATATCCAATCTAAACTTCCCCTGTTTAAGTTTTAACCCATTACCCCTTGTCCTATCACTACAGTCCCTAACGAAGAGTCCATCCCCAGCATCCCTATAGGCCCCCTTCAGATACTGGAAGGCTGCTATGAGGTCTCCACGCAGCCTTACCTTCTCCAGGCTGAGCAGCCCCAACTTTCTCAGCCTATCTTCATATGGGAGGTGCTCCAGTCCCCTGATCATATTCGTGGCCCTCCTCTGGACTTGTTCCAACAGTTCCATGTCCTTTTTATGCTGAGGACACCAGAACTGCACACAATACTCCAACTGAGGTCTCACGAGAGCAGAGTAAAGGGGCAGGATCCCCTCCTTCGACCTGCTGGTCACGCTCCTTTTGATGCAGCCCGGGATACGGTTGGCTTTCTGGGCTGCAAGCGCACATTGAAGCTGGCTCATGTTCATTTTCTCATCGACCAGCACCCCCAAGTCCTTCTTCGCAGGGCTGCTCTGAATCTCTTCTCTGCCCAGCCTGTAGCTGTGTCTGGGATTGCTCCAACCCAGGTGTAGGACCTTGCACTTGGCATGGTTAAACTTCATGAGGTTGGCATCAGCCCACCTCACAAGCGTGTCAAGGTCCCTCTGGATGGCATTCCTTCCCTCCAGCGTATCAACCAAACCACACAGCTTGGTGTCATCAGCAAACTTGCTGAGGGCTCACTCAATCCCACTCAATCGTCCATGTCAGCGACAAAAGATGTTGAGGAAGACCAGTCCCAACACCAATCCCTGAGGGACGCCACTCGTTACTGGTCTCCAGACGCCATTGACCACAACTCTTTGTGTACAGCCATCTAGCCAGTTCTTTATCCACCGAGTGGTCCATCCATCAAATTGATGTCTCTCCAGTTTAGAGACAAGGATGTTGTGTGGGACAGTGTCGAACGCTTTTCACAAGTCCAGGTAGATGATATCAACTGCTCTACCGCTTTCCATCAGTTCTGTAGCCCCATCATAGAAGGCCCGTTCTTAGGGTTGTCATTATCCTAGATATTTGAAACTTTCTGAAATTTAATGTAAGACAATAAATCTCCTTTACATCAGTAGTTAGGCATATTGCGCCTCTTCTGGCTATGGCAGAATGAACTATTCAGAAGTGAATTCAGTGTTTTTAGAAATAATGCTATTTTGTTGCTCAAGACCTGGGGCTGGATTATTCCTCCAGATAGATAGGAGGCATTTCTTTTGTTCTTAAGAAGTGAAGGAAGTAAACTGAGGAGTGAAAGAAAATGAGGAGACTATTTCAGCATAGAATTGGATTCAGACCAAACCTCAGTCCCTTAGAAGAACTGTCATAATGGAAAAGTGTGGTGCCGAGTGGTGGATTGTAATATGCTGTATGTCCATGATCTATTCCAGTAATTTATTACTTTCACATCAATAGGCACACTGTTGTCATGAAGTAGGACAGAAGAGAAGATCTTCACTATGAGGCCAGTGAGACTTTGGAACAGGTTGCCCAGAGAAGCTGTGGCTGTCCCATCCCTGCCAGTGTTCAAGGCCAGGTTGGGTGGGGCTTGGAAGCAACCTGCTCTAGTGGATGGTGATTGCCTTGCCCATGGCGGGGTGTATTTTAACTAGGTGATCTTTAAGGTCCTTTCCAACCCCAAACTATTCTGTGGTTCTATGACCTATAAAAATTGTGGTATCCTGCAAAGAGAGGCAAACACTGGTTTTCAGAGGATGGGGATGTTTTAGCACAGAACAGAGTAATTAGTAGAAGGGAGCTTGCAGTAGTCCAGAACCAGTCTGCAGTAATCAAAAGCCATCTGTTGATGTTTCCATAAGGAGACTGCTCTGTTTTGTTGTATACATATGTTAGGTTATGCAGCTACAGCAGTGATGTTTACTGCATCATTTTTCAGCTGTGGGACAGAAAAGGTATGTAGCTAGGAAGATAAATTACCTTATTGCTTCAATTCTGAGTTTAAAGTTTATTGCTTATTAATATTCTCAAGTGATTGTAGAGTAGAGCAGGAGATGGTAGAGCAATAAAGTCACTATAAGAGTAATATTTGTATTTCAAATCTGTTTCATGAAGCTGAAGTGAAACTCGTTTGCACCTATAAACTTCTGACTTGCTCAAATCTTTTCTGTGAATTAACAGTGCTTTGAAAAGCAAAACAAAATGGGGGCAAAAACCCCAGCAGCTGCACAACTCTTATACAAAGTTCCAAATATCTACAGTGAGGTGTGCAGCAGTTTATCTAGGTTGATTAAATGTTTGCTTTTAAGTATGACATGTGCAGCTTTGTGTGCATGTCTTCCTTTTCCTCTCTGTATTGTGCTCAAGGCTGTTATTTTGGAGGTGTGTCTCCACGGTGAGTGCAAATGTTGATAAGCTGACTTTGTGCAACCCACTGCAGACGCAGGCTGAAGTGCTCGGCTTTTACTGTCAGTTCACACAGGACATCTTCAGCCTTAAGCAGTCTTGTTGTGCTCATGCAGTACTGCACTTAACCCAGTAAGTTTGAAAGCCTGCAGGGCAGGTTTTGTTACTGTGGGCATATCATTCTGCAGAAGTGGTTATATCTGCTTGTGATCTCTGCTGAGGTGGCAACGCAATGCTGTGCTGTATTATGTGAGCATATAGCTGAGTGTAGGCTTGGGAATCCATGCATTCTTCTTAGCTAACACTAGTAAAGCTCTTCTGAGCTGTGTGTAAGAGTTGTCATTATACAGGAGCATTAATAGCATGTCTCAGTCCCTAAGCACCTTTCTGAGGAGCTTTCTCAGAGGTGCTGCTGATGGATAGAAGTTATCCTCTTGACCAACTTTGACCTTTATCAGAAGCAGATCCAGTGCATCAATATTTTCAAAAGGTGTCTACAACCTGCATTATTTGAAGTATGATTTGTATTTTGTGTGAAGTAAGATACATTTCGAAGTTAAATTCTGATTGTGAAGTGTTTGGATTAACAAGTATTACTGGTAAAGTAATGCTGAATGCTGCCTAGCTCCTCCCAAACCAAACGCAAGGCCTCAGGGTAGTATGCTGTGCCTCTACTTGTCATTGCTTGCATGTCTAAGAACTCATCATGTGATGCAGCAAAGTTGTGGTTACTCTAAGTATTAAAGTTATTTTGCTGCATCTCACGGGGGAATCCATTGTTGTTGTTGTTTCTCCGCTATGTAGTACTTGAGTGTTTTTCCCTGTTACCAGTTATCACTGTTAATTTTTGCCTTTTTTCTTTAAAAGCACAAAGAACAATGGAATCAGTATAAAAATTACAGTTCTCAGTACCATTTACACACATTGTTTGTAGGTTTGCTAATGAAACTTCTCAGGAGAAATAACGTGAAGTAAACATCACTTTTCTAGTCTGGATGAAATCTGCACAGTAAAGTAAACTTGCCACAGGTTGTCTAGCTTGAAGAGCAAGAGCTGATCCTGATAACTACAGATTGTACTTAAAATGAAGTGTTCCCTTCTACAAGAAAAGAAGTTTGGATGAGCACAGTTGTAATGATTCATGACATGACTGATCATGTCATTGTGTGATGTGGTTTCAAACCAACGTTTGAGAAACCATCTGAAGTGAAAACTGGGTTAATGAAGAATTGATTAAATATGTAAAAAGTAAATGGCATGTTGGGAAGTAGTGTGAAGGAACTGACAGGATGGAGAAGAGGAGGTTGGACTCCCGAGTATTATGCGTATCCACTGGTGCCATGCTGTGTTGCAGACCGGATGCCTGTTTTTCTTTCTTTCATCTCTTTTTCCTACTGAGTGTACAGATTGATTCAGAAGATTAATGACTGTCTGGCTGTTCCCTTGCAAATCATTCATTATTACTTAATTGAAAATCACAAAGCTTTTTAGCAATGCATGAAGTTATCATCTACTCCAAATTTAACCTCTAATATTTAGATACGTGTCTTAATTTGTTTTGCAGGAGGCTGCCAAATATGAAAAGAAAGTGATGGTGCTGGACTTTGTCACGCCTACACCTCTGGGAAACTCATGGGGTAAAATTATCTTCATTGTAAACCTGCTAAAAAGGAGCTTTACTCAGAGACTCTGATTCTCCTCTGAGATAAGCAACGTTGATGTGAAAAACACATTCTGCTCCTTTCTCTCAGGTCTTGGAGGAACATGTGTAAATGTGGGCTGTATACCTAAAAAATTGATGCACCAGGCAGCTTTACTGGGACAAGCTTTGCAAGATTCACGTAAATTTGGATGGCAGTTCCCAGAAGAAGGTAAAGGAGGAGAACACTTCAGTTTTGTCATTTGTGCTGAAAATACAGAGGCTCTTTCCACAATCAGTCAAATCCTTGTTGCAATTCAGCATCTGCTGGCTTTAACAATGTGAGGCAACTTCAGAGAGATTACACAGAAACAAAGTGCTTTTCAAGTCTAAAGCCATGATGCTTATTGCCTTGCAGCTTTTGATCTATTTATTAATAGCTTCTGATCACATTAGTATTTGGTAAGATTGCTGTGTGAATAAAAGCACAGGTATTACTCTGTTTCTAAATGTAACACAAGATCTAAGGGAATACCCCAGAATGTCCACTGTTAAAACTTCCTGATAATTACAGGCAAGGATTTCTTTTCCCTGCCCTCAGTTGCTGTCACTACTATATAAGAAGATAAATTTTACTTTATATTGGCTCTAATATGCATGTGTCAATAGAAAACTATAGATAATGCAGTAAATCTAATTTTCCATGGCTTATGTCATCTGTTCCACTGTGACCTCTCATGTTGTCTGCATTGGTGTAATTATTTGAATTTCAGTAGTTACCCTGGAAAAAAAAAAAGTAAGACAAAGGTGACTGGGTCATGAAAAAAATCCATATGAGAAAAAGAACTGAAAAGAAGACTGAAAGATGAACATTTCTCTTTTGTTTCTAACAGTCAAACACAACTGGATGACTATGACAGAATCTGTGCAGAATTACATTGGTTCACTGAACTGGGGCTATCGGGTTGCTCTGAGAGAGAAAAAAGTCACATATGAGAATGCATATGGAGAATTTGTCGGGCCACACACAGTTAAGGTACTCCCTAACCGTGTTTGCGGGGTCTTCCTTAGTACTTCATGAGCAGAAATGTTTTTAAAAGAAAATAATTTTTCCTTTGGTAGGACTGTGAAATACTTACTTTGGACTAATACTTTGTCTGCAGGCAACAAATAGAAGAGGAGTTCAGAAGCTGTACACAGCTGAGAGATTTCTTATTGCCACTGGTGAACGACCAAGATACCTGGGCATACCTGGAGACAAGGAATACTGCATTAGCAGGTAATACCAGGGAGGAGTATGAAGTCATTCACCATGTGTAAATGCTTCACCTGTAAGAGAAAGCAGTGAAGCATGAGCAGGGCTGCTTGGTTGCTGCTCTTCTTTCCTATGTAACTTTTTCTTAGGGGAAAGTAAGCGCAGGAGAACAGCTATAGACACCACAGGACTGTGGATGGCTGGCCAGGAGGGTTCTGTCTCTGACCGATAATAGCAGTAACTGAGAACAGCATGAATGATGTGCCTGTCCATTATAAAGCTAATTCATCAGCTCTGTCCCAGTTACCCATACACCTACTTCCTCTCTGTTCCTTATGGCCTTTCAGTTCACATACTGAAAGGGTTTTTTTTGATAATGAAGAGCACAGTCTGCTTGGAAGAAATCTCCCTGCTCAAACACTAAGGAAAGCGGGAGTTGCAAAGCAGTGGATGTTGTGAAGCCAGTAGAAATGTATCTGTCTTTATGCATTGGGGCAGTCGTGAAACTCAACCCGGTCTTTTTTCCAGCTGCTTAGGGAAGTTAATTCAGCTTTTGGGAAAACTGGTTTCAAATCTCTGCTTAATTGTTAAGGCAAAAAATTCTATCATGATTTTGACAAGAAAAGCTATGCGCAGACGGAATGTGTTTTCGCATCAGATTAACTTTAAAGCTGCTTAATGCAGAATCAGAAATTGGAATTATGGGCTTGTAAACCTATAGTAATGAAATAAATAACTGGCATAATCCCTGTGAAATTAAAACGCCATGTTGTATGTTTCCCTTCTAATAAGTAGTGCTGAAATTAAAGGTAACAGATGATACATGTTGCCTGCAAAGTGGTGCTTGAAAAGCATTAAAGCCAAAGACTCAGAAATGCAGGAGTTAAAGACTATCAGATTGTGGCAGTCTGTGTGATCGTCCCTGGGTTCCCTGCGGGATAGGAGCTATTATGTAGCCTTTAATTACGCAGTCACATTCTATTCCACTACAACATCGCAGAGAGCATCTTTGTTTAGCCCTTGCTGTTGTGGGCTGAGAAGAGACACTTGGTTTAGACTGAAATTTTTGGAGAACTGTATTGCCAACCTCTGCTTAAATACCTGCTGAGCAAGCGTGATGCCTCCATGAGTCCCTGCTTCCTTGAGAAGCCCTGGCTTTATAGTCTAGGTCCAAAGCAAGGTAGAACTGATGTAGCTTGGTGAAGCAGTTGAAAGAAATGGAAAGCAAGCACATAAACATGTTTTCCACAATTTCCTAGTTCTATCTCTGCCTGTTACTGTGGCTTTCATTTGTTTGCTTTATTGTCTGTGTATATCTGGCACTGTTTATAATGCTTTAGCAAAAGGATAAGTCTTCAAAGAAGTGAAGATGGTATTTTTACCATAAAGGTGAGACCCTTCCTCTCCCTTTTAGTTCTTAGGAGCTAAAATTTGCAGGAAAATATATTTGAAGCAAGACTCACATTTAAAAACCCCAAGGAAACCAACCTACCTTTTTTAACAATTTGTCCTAAGTTTCTGGGGGAAAAAAAGAAAAAGGACAATTTTTGTGGTGATGGAATTTTTTTTTTTTTTTGGTGTGTATGTGCTCCTAATTAGAACTTTCTAATTTGTCATATACTGATACTGTATTCCAGCTGAATTTCCCCAAAATTAAATTGTTGGGTTTCTTTAGTAAGCGGGAAAAGGAATAAAGTCCTATTCTTACAGAAAAGGAATTAGATAAATAGGAAGCACAATACATCCTTCTGGTTGTCTCTAATTTTCTTCTCTTTTTTTTTCCCCCCCTTCTTTCTTTTTTTGCCAGTGATGATCTTTTCTCTCTGCCTTACTGTCCAGGGAAAACCCTGGTGGTTGGAGCTTCCTATGTTGCCTTGGAATGTGCAGGATTCCTTGCCGGTGTTGGATTAGATGTCACTGTAATGGTGAGATCCATTCTCTTAAGAGGATTTGACCAGGATATGGCAAACAAAATCGGTGAATATATGGAAGAACATGGAATCAATTTTATTAGGGAGTTTGTGCCAATCAAGGTAGGCTCCAAGTGTTACATGACTTTGTATCTTTGTGAGATTCCAGAATTCATTGATTTTATTAGGTAAATTAGTATATGTTGCATTCATAATGTTGTTACTCCTGCTTATTGTGGTCCTGCAAATGTTGAATATACTTAAATTCAGAAGTTGCCCTGAAATCTGTGAGAATTTTTGCAGGCTCATAGTTAAGCGAATATATTATTTCCTGTAAGATCAGGGCCAGTGCATCACAAATCGTCATATCTTTCATGCTGGTTCTCAAATTCCCAGCCAGCAAATGCTACTCATGTGCCCAGGACCAGTGAGCTATCCAGAGAAGTAAATGGGGTTTAGAAGTATCCATCTGTATCCTTTATTTGGCAGAGTGATTAAATACTTGCTCCATTTTGTGTTGAATTCGGTAGGAGTACTCGTGCAGTTAGTTATGTATAGGCAAATTCAGTTTGAAAAGCAGATTACATAAGTTCTGGAGCTTTTCTAATGTAAAATTGCCTTATCAAAGACTTCAGAGGGTGCTTATTTTTCTTAATATCTTTTCACAATAATTAGGGCTCAATTATTATGAAATGGGAAATAATGTATTAAGCCATTTTCAATTTGGTGTTAAGCCGATTGCTATGGAGTTTAATGTTTTGGGGATTAAATCATTAAACTGAGTGCAGACTGTTCATTTTTGCCCTTACCACTATCAAGAGGAGCTTAAAAAATGGTCTTGCCAGTTGCCATGCCTTGGGTCTGACTATCTCTGTGAGTGTGAAAGTGGATGTTTCAAGGGACTTTGGTTTGATGCATTGTTTATATTGCAGAAATCCCATGTTGCATGAAAAGCAAGGATGATTATCTAGCTTTTCTTCCAGGCATAGCTTTTGTAGGCTCAAATGGGGGTGAGAAAGTAGGAAGCTTTTTTACATGCAGATCATTTCAACTAACTGGCAGGTAGGCTTCTCCAGGTGCACCCTGTGAAAAGCAGTCCCTCACCCTAGTCACAAAATGCACTTTTGTGTGTCTTACGCTGTCCCTTCACTACATGACTTTGATTTCAATGGGAATAAAATATGTGGCCTTGTTTCTAGTTGAGAATATCCATAAACTTAAATTGCTGGATATGTTTTTAGTAGGTCTTATTGTCTCTTTCAAACACTGTTTTGAAATTTTGCATGTTACGCTTATTAAAACCCTTCCTTGGGATGTTTGAAGACAGAAAATGAATTATTATAAATAATGCTGCCTTTGAACAAGAGCCATTTAAAACAGTGATCCTTTAAAGTCAGTAGGATGGTACAGAAGGCTTTTTTAAATTAAAAGTGTAGAAAGGACAGGGAAAACTAGAACTTTGTCAGAAACTTTGCTTTTTCTGTCTCTAAATACTGAATATGAAGTAGGAACTAGGGAAGCTGTTGAAGTACTTTTTCATCTGTAGAATGAACACTAAAATATCCTGGAATTGTGTTGCACATTTGCATGTCTCTTGCATGTACAGCAGCTGTAGGAAGCTTGTGGGCACCTTTCTGTTTCCTGGGGATGGTAAGGGAAGGACTGTAGCTGAGGACAGTAGTAATGAGGACAAAATATAACTCACCTATGTAGCTTCAGAAAGATACATTTGCATATATTTGTTTGAAACTAAATCTGTTTTTCCTTTTTTTCCCCTGTTGTCTGTCTCGCCCTCCCCTCCCGCCTGCAACGTTGTAGGTTGAGCAGATTAAGGAAGGAACTCCGGGAATATTGAAAGTTACATCCAAGTCCACAAAGGGGAATGAAATAATTCAAGGAGAATACAATACTGTGAGTGCTGTCTATAAATGTCAGAATGTACAATGGCCTTCCATTTAACGCTGAGATTTTTGTGGGGTGTTTTTATCCATAGTTTAAATTTTATTTATTTTAGTCATTACAGTATGCTAATTGGACACAATTGATGGGTAATTAATATGACAAAAGTCCCAGAATCCATGAGCACTGGATCACTTGAATGCTTTTGCGATCTGTTTCTTAGCTTAGGCACGTTGATGAGCTTGGTCATGTGGAATCAGTTGCAGGATTTTTCCCCAGTGGGATATTTGTCATAAAACATAAGTAATGATTTATAATGGCATTCATAGTAACTAAAGCATGTTCTACAGTTAGCACAAAACAACAGTCTGTGCAAGAGTTAAACAGCTGTCATGTCTTCTTAAGACCTGTTGTTGACACAGCATCTTCATTAAAACAACTAAAGCCCTGTGGCAAGTCAGTCAGGCAGCTTCCTGGCACACTTTAAAACAGTAAAATTGCAGCAGGCGGGGATGTCATTGTAAGTTTGATCTACTGTTTCCATCACCCCTCACCCCACTCATTCTCATAGGCCTTGATGATGAAGAAGAAGAAAGTAAGATGTAAATAAATTATTTGGAAATATGCATAAAACATAAAGACAAGCGCTTGTGAGCCTGGGATTTTAGATTGCAAATACTGTGTGCCAGTGATCTCATTTACCTGTATAGAGCACCAGTCATCCCAAAATAAGGACATGCTTCAGTGCATCTACAGGCCAGTATTATGAGAAAGTTTACAATAACAGCAGTGCTCTTGCATAGTGTTGCAATACTATTTTTCCTGGTCCATAGTAGTGAAAGCTTTTTAGCTAGCAAATCCTTTTCATTAAGGAAACATCTGGTTTGTTATTTACTGAAATGTTGTCATTCCTCATAGAAGCCATGAGTTGTGCTGGATGCATTTCAGACCTTCAGCTCTGAAGATCTGGCGTACTTTGTTACGTGAAAGACTTGACACAGATCTCTAAATCCTTCAGTGCAGTTCTTAGTTACCTGTGTAGTTGTCCAAGACTGCAAAGTACATAACACTTTTCCTTGTGATAGTGTAGGCTAGAACTTGTTTTGCTTGTTAAGGTAGCCAAGGTGACAGGATGGATAGGAATCTGACCTGGTCTGTCATCATTCTGAGCAAATGTTCAAATAATATTCAACAGATAATACTCTTTGGCAGTGACTTGGCTGAGAGACCCTTCCTTATAGAGCATTTTGGGGTTACCAGTTCTGGAATACCACAATGGTATAAAAGTTCGAGGAAATAACGAATCTGACCTTAACCAATTTGTTTAGAATACTCTTAGGGTAGGCTGAGGAAAAGCTTTTTTGGCTGTATTAATCTTTTCATTAAAACCGGGTATTGTTAAGTCATGGTGGTAGTGTGGCTTGTCTTGAAGTTTGTGAATGTACAGTGGGTCATAAGCATACTCATCTTTAATATGACCAAGCCTTAGATGCTAATCCTTAGTATATAATGAAAATAATGCACTTTCAAGGTTTTAAAAACTCAGTAACAGGCATTGCTGTTTTGCAGGTGCTGCTAGCAATTGGAAGAGATGCATGCACAAGGAAAATTGGTTTGGACAAAGTTGGAGTGATTATCAATGAAAAGTAAGAACGGATGTGTGAATGCTCCATCCCTGGCAGTGTTCAAGACCAGGTTGGACGAGTCCTTGATTTAGTGTGAGGTGTCCCTGCCCATGGCAGGGGGGCTGGAACTTGATGATCTTAAGGTCCTTTCCAACCCGAACTATTCTATGATTCTATACCACTCATTGCTGAGCTTGTGTCACTGTTGCAGTGATACTGGTGCAATGGTACTGGTGCATATACATTCAGATGCTTTGAGGAAAAATTTGTTTCCTGTTTGCATAGACTTGGCTAGGAGACTGTGTAGCAGGTGGCTGCATTTTCTGCCATAGTACTGCCACGTTTGCTTTTTTGATACTGAAATATTAATTCCTAAATGCTGGGAGTCAGAAGTGTCCCATTCTGTCCAGGCTCACAGGGCAGTTTCAGCTTCTTTTAGTGACAGGGCCTTCTAGAATCTGTCAGTTGTTCCTTGTGCTGTCTTAATCCCACCTCCTTGTTTTTGTCTTTGCTATTTCTTGTGGCAGAGAGCTGTTTGTTCATACAGGCTTTTGGTGTGGTGGGTTTGTTTATAGTTTAAGGAAAATACTATTATATGTTTATTTTGAAATACAAGGTCAAAGTAGCATTACTCAAACTCAGAGTTGGAGTTTGTGATGTGTTTTAGGTTTTGGAGGAGTTTATTTCTTGTCTTAGAGCAAGCTTTGGGAGCTATCTGTCTCTTAGAGGAACATTTTATGTTCAGTGTAGTGACTCTCTTGCACCAGGGAGTGGAGCTATCTGTAATATTTTCAGTATTAGTAACGAAAACATTTTCTAGGCAAGTGAGGCCTAGATGATCTTCCCTTTGAAGAAAAGATAACACAGAACCATGAACTAGATATGGCAGTCTGTGGAAGAAGTGTAGAGGGCAGCTTATGTGTGAACACAAGGACTGATGTTGTTGAAGGGAACTGTTGAAATGTCCTGAAGTGAATATTTTGGTCCACTTAGAATTGGCAGACCCATGTTGTCTTGTATTACAGTACACATCTTTCTGACATCAGGACACCTATTACTAGCTTAATAGAGTGAACTATAACATTATTAGCATAAACCATATGTTTGTTAACAAGAGCAAAATTGAGGAAGTTGAATTTTAATACAGGAATTGCTGCTGGTCCATTAGGTAACTGTGTGACTGCTTCTGTGCCTGTCTGATTAGGTTTCCCTGCTACATGTGTTTCCTGCAGAGATTACTGCACTATCTCATTTATTAATGAAGTAGGAAATATTAATAATTAAAAACTTCCATTAGGTCAGCACACTTACAGCTAAAAAGCTTGGTGGCTGGCCCTTAAGTAGGGTGTCTAACAGCTTGATCTGTCTTTGTATAGAAGCCTGAAGGGTAAGTTGATAGAAACTGCTTCAGCTACTGGACTGGAATTTCAGTGGCAGAGAAATTCTTTTGTCCTACAGCTCGAGCAGGAGAATGTCTCTTCTTGTCATTCCTCAAGGTTGCCAGTACACAGCTCAACTGATAGTAGACAGTGTTTGAGGAAAGGATTTATACCTCACCAGAAAATTGATTCAGGAGATTAATTGCAACTTCACAGGCTACTTCCTTATCCAGTGTGTAGATTCCTGCAGTTTTGGTCAGATTTGCACTGCTTTACATTCTTGCCCAAATTTGTAAGACTGAGAATGTTGACTTCTCTCCTTCATGCTTCAGATACATGGCTTTCTCTTAAAGCTATAGGGCCTAACTCCTAACTGGAGGTTATTTATACCTCCAGTCTTCACAGCAGAACACTTAGACCTTTTTTCTTGTTAATTCAAATTACAGAACAGGAAAAATTCCTGTCAACGATAAGGAGCAAACAAACGTGCCATATATCTATGCAATTGGAGATATACTGCAGGATAAGCTGGAGCTCACGCCAGTGGCAATCCAGGCAGGGAGATTGTTAGTTCGAAGGCTTTATGCTGGCGCAACCACTAAGGTAAGGACCTAATTACCACAAAATGCTGTCATTGCTCTAAGACTTCTAAGTGCAGTGTGCAAGTCTGCTTGTTTATGGAAAACTCAATAGGCTTTTAAGGATTAGCTTTGATGATCACTTTAATTTTCCCCTTGCAAAGATATTGCTGCAGATATGTTCTGCTAATTGTGTAGGAAGAAATTAATACCTTACTGGATTAAGCAGTAGTCTCTTTTTTTCCTATTAAGAGGCTTTATTTTTCTCTGAGTAATAAAATTACCTGAGATTGTTTAACTTGTTTTTAACTCTGCCACCTTCCCTAGAAGTCAACAGTCATTGCCATGCCACTAAATGCTTTAATTCATAGGGAGTCTACTAAACCTACGTACAGTCCCTAAATACAGTGCAATGGGGATTTGTGATGCTTTTAATTTTCAGTGTAATTGCCACTTTTTTTTTCAGTTCTCATCCATGTTTTCAATATAGTATATAGTTCCTCTTATAATTGAATGTGGACACAAAGGAAGATGAAATGTACCGATAAGTCAGAAGGTATTTATACCTGAGAAATTGAATTCGTCAGTTCAGTGTTTGTTTCATACCAGTGCCATTGTAGGTTTCAATCAAGTTACGCTAGTCCAAATGGGAGTAACATGGGTCCTCATTTACACCTTAACTTTATACTGGGAGGAGAGTGCCTTTAAAGAACTGTCATGTGGGCACCACTGATGTGAGAGCTTGTTTTACCTTCATAACCAGAGGGCATGAGCATAAAAGTTTTCCTCTTTTAGAGCCTGGTGTATTCATATCAAGTTCAGCTGTCGGCCAGATTTAGAGCTTGATTGAGTTGTTTATTTTAGGCTGGCAGGTATTGCGTTAACAGAATTCTGCATCAGTATGCCTAATGTCATTACATCAGCCAGGCAGAGTTTAAGCTGGAGCCAGATTTTTTTCTTTCTGCAATACTATGGGTATGTCTTAATTTACATTTTATGCCAGGTAACTGTCTCTCAAGGTATGAAAATCCTTATGCTGCCAAAGAAAACATCATCTCTTTGTGAACCCAAGAAATGAGTCATTACATAGATAGGAACCTGTCTTACATTGCTGTTGTAAGAAGTCTGGAAAGGGTGATTGTACGAAACATAATGAAGTGTTACAGATAGGTGGGAAAGAACAGTAAGTAGCATCTCAGTTGATCCCTAGTCACAAAGGAAATAATTAGAGTTGAAATCTGTAGAAATTAAAATTACTAGAAATGAAATGGAGCTGATCAGCCTGCTAGTCTGCTATGGCAGAATGACTAATTGGCTGGATATGGGGATAGCAGTGGATGTTGTTTACTTTGACTCAGGTAAAGACTTTTGGCAGTGTCTCCACAACATTCTCGTAGACAAACTGATGAAGTACAGACGAGATAAGTGGGCAGTGAGGTGCATTAAGAACTGGCTGAACTGCCAGGTTTAAAGGGCTGTGACCAGCATAAACACCAGTTGAAGGCCAGTCACTAGTGGCATGCCACAGGGTTGGATACTTGGTCCAGTACTGTTCAGGATCTTCATTAATTCATTAATGATTTGGGTGATGAGACAAAGTGCACCCTCAGCAGGTTTGCAGATGATACAAAACTGGAGGAAATGAATGATCAGTCAGTGTTTGTGCAGCTCAGAGGGCCCTCATCAGGCTGGAGCAGTGGGCTTACAGGAATCTTGGGGAGTTCAGACAGGATATGTGCAAAGTCCTGCACCTGGTGGGGCTGTAACCCATGCACCAGCATAGGCTGGGGACCCACCAGCTGGAAAGCAGCTGTGCAGAGGAAGCCTCAGGGAGGCCTGGAAGATAGGTTGACCATGAGCCAGCAAGGTAGCCTCATGGCAAAGACCAGTGGCATCCTGGGCTGCATGCTGCAGATGCATCCTGACAGAGCATTGCCAGCAGGTGAAGAGGTGAAGTGACCTTTACTCCTTCTCTTGGATCTGATGAAACAAGTGTGGATTCTGTGTCCAGTTTGGGGCTCCCCAGTACACGAGGGACAGGGCAAGTCCAGCAAAGGGCCATGACTATAATTAAAGGACTGGGGCATCTGATGTAAGAAGAGTGGCTGAGTCAGCTGGGAATTTTTATACACTGCAGAAGATATAGCTTTGGGGCTCTTAAATCAATGTGTATTTGTGGTATAGAGTAATGAAGATGAAGCCAGACTCTCTCCAACAGCATGAAGTGCAAGGACAGGAGTCAATGTATTAAAACCGAAACACAGCAAAGTTCCTTTTAAACATAAGAGAAAACTTCTTTACAGTGAGGGTGGTCAGGCCCAGAGGTTGCCCAGAGAAGGAGCCTCTACAGCACTGTAAAGCCCCAGTGAAGTCAGGGTCAGTGTTTGCCTTTCATAGTATGTGATTGGGCACACACTATCAGCTCTAGTTCTCACTGTCCCCCCAGATAGCTGTAGTTCATGTCTTTTGTTCTTTGGTATTGTCATAGACTACAGTTTATATAAAAGATGATGGGGTTTGGATGGTGGTGGTTTCTTTGCATCATCCCCAGCTAAAAATAGTGTGCTTTGTAGAAGCAGTTAACAGTCTACTTTTTATCTCTTGTTTGACCTACGATCTGATAAGTTTTTAAAGAGGGCACTGGATTGTTTCTTCCTTTAGTCTATGCATACTAATGTCAGTGTGGCTTTAAATTGTCTTTCTGTTTGAGAATTATGAATGATCCAACTTTCCTTGCTGTCTTTCAGGCTGCTGAGTTTTTACCCAGTGTGCTGATTTTATTACTGATGTTGTGTTTTGTTTCAAATGCCACACAGTGTGACTATGTGAATGTTCCAACTACTGTATTCACTCCTTTGGAGTACGGAGCATGCGGGTATTCTGAAGAGGCTGCGGTGGAGAAGTTTGGGGAGGAAAACATTGAGGTAAATGCCTTAGATTCATCTGGATTTGAAGTTCCCAATCTGTAATTTAAAGTAACGTCAAGAGTCAATTTAAACAGCATTCTGTGCTCTGATGTAAGCCAGGAGGTGACTAGGTACATTTTTATCTTCCTATGTTGTAAAAATAGTCCCCAATTCCGATGGCTCTAATTGCAAATATGTTCCATTTTTAGCAAACAGGGTTTGAAGGCGGAATATTTGGTTTAAAAATAGAAGGCAGTTTCTTTGTGTCTGCAAATACTTAAGGACAAATTAAAGCTGCCTATGTGCTGGAAGCAATGCATTGATTTTACTGTCAAAGTGGATGGAGCTTTTTGTAGCTACAGTGTGGCAAATTCCTTGCCATGGTGATTTTTAGTTTATAAAGACAAGTGTTATGCTAATTTTTCCTGTTTGACTATACTGGGAGGTATGTGCTTAATTTTGCTGACGTGAGTAATCCCTTCTAATTCACTGGCATTGCTGGTCAAGAGTGAAATTAGGCGTATGTAAACACTTAGTGCCTGAGGCTGTTCTTACAAAGCACTATACAGAAAGTACAGAAAGCTTGAGGAGAGGGAGTCTGACAACAAATCGAACTTCTGTGCTCCACAGAGATCACCTGGAGAGAATTATCTGGGGAAATACACAGATAAGTTGTTGTTCATGAAGCTGAGAACTTGTCTCTCTCTTAGCTTTGTCAATTACATGTTTTGAATTGCAGTGTGGAGAAAAGAAGTAAATATGACAGTGTATCAAGTACCATTAACCTGACTACAGGGCAAAGGCTTGAATTCTTTCCTGCCCACAGAGTTTGTATATACCCATTCAAACTTTTGTAACCAAGTCAAATTCTTGCTGTTACGTTGTGAAACACGAGGCTCCGTTGTAGAAAACGCATTTTGAATTTCCAAAGCCATTTTACGAAATGTGCATCCAGAAGCATTTGTGTCTAAGAGAGGGTTAAGAACTTACTCAGTTTATTCTGACCTTTTTATCATGTCACCATATTGGCTTTTGCAAGCTTCAGTAAGATTATCGAGTTGCATCTGTCATTCAGACCTGATGAATTTCAGTTTCAGATAGTGATATTTATGAATGCTTTGTAACCCATTAATGAGGAAAAACATTGAATTGGCTCTCCTAGCTTGTGAAGGAACTTATTTTTCACTGGAATTGTGAGCAATTAAAAATTTATTTCAAATAGTAATCAATATGAAATTAGCTTATAGTGAGAGCTGTTGGGAGTTCCAGGTAGAACTGTGCCTTAAAACAGCCCATGATTTTCTGAGATACATGCTGTACAGGTGGGCTAGCAGCCTTATCTGCAGTTACGAATCTGTCCAGTGATGCTTTTTGGGGCAGACAGGAATACGTGGTGGTGTTTTTCTAATGTGCTTTCCATTTTGCACTGATACATAATCTCATCTGTCCTAAACCCAGGCTTAGAGGCTATTTCTTCCTTTTTTCTGCTCTGAGAAATATCTTTGCGTTTGTTCCGGGTAGAAGCAGACACAATACAGCCTTCTGTGAGGAAAGCTTGTAATTGTCTAGTTTAATGAGAGCGTGATGAACTGCATCCTGGAAGTGTAATATGCTTATGGCTTTTTTCTTCTTTTTTAATTATTGGATGACATTAGTGCCTGCTTTGTAGAGGCTTCCTTTGGCATTCATCAAGGGGAAGGCATCTCACCCTGATGTCAGATACTCCAAATGCTATGTGCATGGCTCGTTATTTAAGAAAATCTGGCAGGTTTTGGAAGATCCCGTTCTCTTCTGTGAAATTACTCAACTGTTTTCCTAACCTGTGTTGTATTTGCAGGTTTACCATAGTCACTTCTGGCCACTGGAATGGACTGTGCCATCCAGAGACAACAACAAATGCTACGCAAAGATAATTTGCAATATTCAAGACAGTGTAAGTGCATCTTTCATTCCAAGGAAAAGAGCAGCTATATGTTCATCATAGGAACTATTGGTACCACAGCTATAAATAGGTTATTTTAAGTAAATTAACATGAATTTAATTTTTCTTGCCTTTCAAAATATAATAAATATTTATAGGGATACTTTTGTTGATACAAAAATGACCCTTAGTAAAACAGAAAATTCTGCCTTTGCTGTTGGTATATGATGCTTATTCCACATGTGTAAAATAAGAAGTATGTCTAACTTTTAAATTGAGTGAATCAGTGCATGTAAAAATGCTTATCTTATTCTCCCTCCCCAAACTGGAACATTCTGGGAGACTCTGAAATTGAGGTCTCTCAGAAGCCATCACAACTTGTAACCTCTACAAATCCACACGTGTCTATAAAGCTTTCAGCTCGTTCTAACAGGATTAATGTATCTTGCCTGCACAAATCTCATTTAAGGTGATAATGCCAGGATTATCCTTGGACTAGCATAAAATTTCCTGGCAGTGGAAATGTGCAATACCTGCTGAAGCACAAGCAAAATCACTAATTGGTTAAAAGAATGGGTATGCCTCTCTCTGAATGATCATCATCTTTTTAATAAAAATTCAATTGATTTTAATCATATGAGTTACTGTGAAACATAATTTGATGATAAAATGTATTCCTGTTAAGATAGTGGCATAAAGTTACCAGTCCTAAAAATGATTTTGATCTGTTTTACCTAATTTTATGGTGTTGGGTTTTTTTTATCATTAGATACACATTTATCTTCCTGCAGTCTTTCTAAGCAGCATGTCACCATTTTGTAAGATTTTCAAACCTGTCTGATTTGCCCGTGTCCTCTTTCTGGGGTAGCCTGCAACCCATGTTTGTATTCCTAATTCAAAGTTACTGAAGAAAATGAAAAGGTTTAACAGTGATTTAAAGTGTTCCATTTATTTGTTTCCATTTCTTGTCCTGAGAATTGGGAACATGTTTAAACATCTAGGGGTAGAATTGAAAGTTACCCTGAATGAAAAATAGTTCAGTAACTGACACTGCAGTTACCTTGGTTTCATTGCTTTGGTTTCATTTTTACATATGTCCATATTTTTAAAGGAAAATAAGGGTAATTTCATTTTAGTTATTTCCTAATTATAACTTTTCCTATTTAAATAAACTCTGTGGTAAATCTCATTCCTCAGGCTTACCGAAAGAAAAATAACCCTTCAGTGTACTGAACATCCACACCCTTTTGCATGTAATGGTTAGTGGGAAGAGCAGATAACTCTTGATACCTGACTGGGCTACATCCATGCTCAGCAAAATCTGATTAATGCTCTGAAAGCCACTAAAGCCCACAGCAGTTGGCATTTGTTAAGAGATACTTGATTTTCTTAGAGAAGCAAGCTTTTCTTTAAGGAAAGCAGATCAAGTCAGTGCAGCTTGTTCTGCTGAGTGTTTGCTGAGGATATACATGCAATTTGATGTATTTTTCAGTCTAACAATGATATAGATATGAGAAGTGTGAAGTAATAGTGTCTTCCTTGTAATGGAATAAATATCTTTCAGTTTGTTTTTCCAGTCTCTAGTTAGATTATCTCCTAATGGCAGCGAACACAGGGAAGACATCAGTTTAGTTATAGTACAGTTCTTGCCACATCTGGTTACCCAGAACCTCAGCTTGTGGCCTTTTCCTATAAGCAGCTGTCAGTCTGAAAGTTCTTCAGTAGATACACACCTAGCATAGGCCCCGTTGTTGCAAACCTTTATGCGAAGTGCTCACCCATACTTAGGCAAGGAGCCTGTGGGATTGCGTGGAATTGCTCACCTGAGTAAAACTTAAATGCAGGTTTGCAATTTGGACATGCACAATAATGAAGCATAGAACATGGTGTGTGTTCAGTTTGTATGCCATTGATGTAAATGGAGGACCTCTGCACAAAACTTTGTAAGGAGGCTGGTTGGTGATTCTTAGTTGAATCTTTTCAGAGAACAAGATTATACCCACAGTTTCCCATCTGTTGGTGCTAATAATTGATAGTTCACATTTGTGTGCTTACATTAATTTGTGGTATGTTTTGTGAGCTGATTAAATTATATAGTCTGAGTAAGAAAACCCTGTGTGTTGTCTGAAGAGAACTGAATGCATGACTGTGCTTGTATTTTATTATCTTTGATATTTAGGAGAGAGTCATTGGTTTCCATGTCCTTGGTCCAAATGCTGGAGAAGTCACCCAAGGGTTTGCAGCTGCTATGAAATGTGGGATCACAAAAGAACAGCTGGACAGCACCATAGGAATTCATCCCGTGTGTGCAGAGGTGAGTGTATGAAGTCACCTCATATCCCAGCTTTTACAGTGTTCTGGAGTAAGGTGCTGGAAATCTGAATAGCAGAACTCTGTTAAAGAATTCCCAATCTGGGGGAAGTCAGGGGAGAGGTAAAGACAGGAAAGGGTCTGGTTTTAATATTTAGAAATCTAACATTTGGGTTTAATCTGGGATTGTTTTAAACTTTTTTTGTTGCTGTGTTCATTTGTGAGATGTTTATGGTCTCCCTAATCCAGTGCGCTCTCTGCTGGGAAGTACAGAATTTTCCTTCCACTCAGAGATCCATTTATGAAGGCTTTAAATACTTTTCAGTAAAAGTGGTTGTCAAAGCTAATTTTTTTAGATACGTGTGCTCAAAATAGGCTTACAAACTGGTGCTGCGGAAGGGGACAGTTTTTCTATTCTGCCCTTTTAAAGATCTCTCCTTTACTTTTGAAGTGAAGACATGAGGCCACACAAAAACACTTCTTCTTGTGTTTATCTTGCTGTCCCTCATTAATGAAGAGCTTAATTTTTTGAAGTGGGTGTGGAACAACTCCTCCCAGCTGTCAGTCAGAGATGATCCACTGATGTTAGTAGCATTAGGACCAGTTTATATTAGCTGAGGATCCCTGCAAACCTTTTATGACCTTGTACATCTCTGTACAGGATCTCTGTGTTAGATATAGCGTGTTGCAAGAGTTCACCAGGATGCTGCTCTGCAGAAGTGAAGTCTGCTTCTCTTGTATTTCAACGTGATACAGTATAAGCAGTAGAATATGAACTGTATTAATGGAATGGACTGCTAACAATCTGAACCATCTTCAAAAGCATCCACAATATAGATTCTGTTTAGTGGTTTTTTTTTTCTGTATTATCATCTAATGGTGTTCTTAGAATCCCTTGAGGGGGGTAACAGGTCCTTATGTTAGCAGGGGCCCTGTGTAGGGGGAACTCTGAGGGAGGCATTCAAACCTGTGAACTCAAGTGGGATATTAGCATATGCAGTGTGAAGGGAGGATGATAGTCATAATTTATTCTGGACATCTGAGCTGCTAAAATTGAAACTGAATAGAATGATGATTAGATATAATTTAGGGAGGTAATTTCAGATAATCATATTTGTTTGAGTGGGGGAGGAAGAAATTGGCTCCGGAGAAATACACTGTTTGAAAGCTCCGGGGAACAGCGATCATGTTTTAGTGCCAGTCTTCAAAAGGTTTCTTTATGCCTGTTACTTAATTTAATCTCTTAAGCAGTAAACAAAAATCAAAGTGCAACATGATATTCTTTGATTTTAAAAAATGCTTTTCAGTTGTTTGGAATCTGTGAGGACTGCACATATCTGGATTCATAGAATGATGGGTATTATCAGCATTATTTTTATCTTGAGGGCATGTGGAAGCTAAGGAAAAGGAAGTCTGATCTGAGCAGGAAAGGGAGAGTGTTGCAGGGTCAAATGCTGACATCTTCACTGGCGTAAGTACTAATTTGTTGCATAAAGTCTCCTGTGAAACATGGTAGTATTCAACTAGAAGACGACTGTAAGACTTGAGAGTCCCTTTTCTCACTGCTTACAAATTGGATCCAGATTTCACTTCTTTTGTTTGACCAGCATTTTGTTCTGCAGAAAACGAGTTCTGAATAGAATTTTTTGCAAGGTAAAGTACAAATAACTGTAAACATAGAGTTGGTAGGACCTCAGCCTTGCAAAGAGCTGCCTCTCAGCCTTGACTGTACTGGGCTGCTTGAAATATAGGTGTATATAATTGACCATCTGTGATGAAGAGAAAGTGTCTTCTGAAAGCTGGGATGATTCTTCCAGTTAGCTAATGATGGCTTTCCACCCATTGGATCTAAGGTTTTGTCTTCATTTGAATAACTAACAAAATCTGTTAAAACCCTCATGTTTCCAGTAATTACGAAATGACTACCAGCTGGCTTCCTAGAGTTAGGGAGCTGTATGGTTCCTACAGGCACTTGGACTGGCTAACACACCCAGAGCCTGCAGTCAGGCCAAGAAGAAAGCAGATAAATTTTGCAGTTTTTAATCTTTGTCTTCCAGAGTGAAATAATAATAAATGGAGGTTCCCATACACTTTCAGTCTGTGGATCAGAACTGAAGAGTTAGAAACGCTGTCTCAAGCTATGCACTATAGTTTGAATATGTTGCTGTTGTTCTCCCATGTATATTAGACGTGCATTTGTCTTCCTGATTAGTGCATAGTGCTTTACCTGCTTATAGAAAGTGGAGTGGGTATATCGTTTATTGATGTTCCCTGAAGAGCTGCTAGCAGCCTTACTGCAGCAAAGCTTCTACTTGGAGAACTGTAGGGCTTTCAGATCCCCATTATCTTTAGATACATCAGTGTTATTTGCATAACTGAAATGTGTATGTACTTCATTCGGTAAGTTTATTATTCCTAGTAGCTTTGATGTTAGCTAATTATTGCAACTTTGAACTATTTAGATAGTAGTGGTTTTGATTTCCTTTTTTCCTTTCTATATTATATCTATGCAAAGCTATGCAATTATTTGCATGGTAAAGTTCTAATATTAAACAAGTTCTTGTAGAATTCTTCTTCTTGAATTTTGATACCTTTCAATTTTACAATAAATATTCTTGAATATGTTGTTTTCTTTAATGGGACTTGAAAGCAGTAAAGATTGGACTTTTCCCCAACTAGATTTACTGAGTGTTTTCTTAGCTATTGTCCAGAGGATACAGATCCCAGACCTAATACCCACGTCAGCAATCAGTTTCACATTTCTGTAATATCTAGAAAGGTACAGAGGCAAAATTTATGTTCTCTCCAAATGCTGTAGCCTTGGGTTAACTTCACTTTCCCTACAAATAGGTTATCTTTGAGCCATAAAGACACTTACTCATTAGGTGTAAAGAGTGGAGTTTATTATTTCTGAGCTCATTCCCACTGTAAAAACTTAGGAACATTAAAACAGAGGGTGGTATAAAGCCATGTGATTTTTCTTAATTCTTTTTTTTCTACTGTAACAGGAAGGCCATAAAGGAAATTGAGAGAAGAAAGTGTATTTGTATGTTTACTTTTCAGTGGCAAGGAGTCTAAATGTGTGGGTTTTGTTCTTATTTTATTACCTTAAGAAATGACAGTGACTTTGAGCATTAAGTGCAGGTTGATCTTCCAAAAAAGGATTAACTTTAGCCATACTAAAAGTCTTCTCTTTATTTTTTCTCTCTTCAGATATTCACCACCCTGACTGTGACTAAGCGCTGTGGTGAAAATACCCTTTTGTCTGGATGCTGAGGTTAAAGACCTCCCATTCTTGTTATTGCCAGAGGCTGGCTTTCATCGCAGTGTCTGACTTGACTTGTGCAATTCAGAAGAAAGGTTTTGGAAGAAGTTGTCCTTAGACATTTCTGCGGAAATGCGGAGATCTTGAGCAGAGCATCATCCAAAGAGCATCATCCAAAGGAGAAGAGCTCTGTGGGAGTTGGGCACTTGCGGTGATCGGCTGGCAATTAGCAATGCAATGGGAGTATTGACTGCCAAGCTGATGCTTAGCAGAGCATTTAAATGCTTTCATGAAGTCACAGCCTGAAGCCTGCATTGTCTGGTGGGCAGTGATGGAACAACTGCTAGCACAGCTGGACCACAACTGTTTTGGTTTGGTTTTATTCCTCTCTAGTTTCTTACTTGAACGAAGAACTTTTGGACACCAGAAAATGACCACAACTTCAGATAGTTGTATAGTGCCTCTGTGTTATAACACAACAGTTGCAAGTCTCCTCATGAGCATGCATTTAACCAACCTACATGCTTGTGGAGGGGAAGTTGTATCTACATGTTTGATCCTAGGGAAGAAAATATCTTTGGAAGAGAGTTTAGTGCCTTTTAGAATAATGTATTTCTTGGCTCGAACTGACTCAGTTGTGACTTTTTATTTTAGAGTTATTTATTTGTGAAAATGTTCTCCTTAGTGAGGAAGGAAAATACTTTATACTACGGCTGCATTATACAGAAAGTTGCCTTTTTTCCCTCTGGAAGTAGCAACCATGCATTTAACACAGACGTGGTCTTCTTAGCCTTATCTTGCAGCTTATGTGATTATAATTAATCCAGTTTGGAACTGACACAATTCCAGTGTGGAATGAATTGTGCTTCCAAGAGCTCTGTGCAACTTTACTAAATCTGAATAAGCCCTTCCTTTCTGGGTGAACTATTATATGTTGCACCATTCCAGGTCTAAATTGGCCACTTTGCACACAGCAGTATTGAGACTTCCCCTCAGATTAGTGGGTCAGTAGAATTAAACCAATGAACCAAAGAACACTCCCCAAAGCAAACAAACAAGCAAACCTCCCACCCAACCTCCAGAAACCTGTAGTGAAAAATCTTCTATGTAGGTACAGCCTAAAAGCTGTGTTTAGTTCCATTTGTGTTTTGATTTACGTTTAAGAAAATGCTTTCAAAACAGGTTTCTATGGGAAATAACAGATTCCTGAATGTTCCTCCTGTGTTGGGTAAACTTGCATACATGTTTATTAAGAAATGGTAAAAATGCCTCTCTGTAATGGAAATGAATGAGCTTATTGATCTGGTCTTTCATTTCCCTCTGTTTTAGCAGAAAGGTTTGGGTTACTTTTGTTAAATGGTTCTCAGGAGTTTAGTAATGTGGGCGGTGTGAATAGAGGGTGAGCTCTCTGTCTGAGCAGAATGCCTTATGCTGAAATTTTTACCTGGTTAATGAAATCATGTATTTCTACTGAGATTTTGAGAATAGTCTTGTAAGTTATTTTTATAAACTCATGCATAACTGAAGGATTGTTAAACGCGTTTTGTATGTTATCAAGAATGGTCTGTGGTAGCAGTTTTCTGGCCAGTGTCTTAAATAAATTGAGTATTTGCACAAACAGATGCTCATTTTGATGCCTCTTCCAAGCAAAGAAAGCAGGTGACAGCAAGCCAGCTTTTGTTTTTAAAGGCCAGAAGAGGGCACCTTGGTAAACCCATCTGCACTGGATTTTAAAGGTAGGTATTTCTGAGAAGCAGGGTTTGGGGTCATGTTATGTGCTTTATTTTTGTATGTTAAACATTTGAAAAGGGCATACTTAACAATAGGAAAATAATCAGGAAATCAGCCTTCTGCTATTTGCACTGGCTGCCAGCTATATGACTTCTCAATACCCAGGGGTTCCTGAGCTGTTTGGATAGCTGCTCTAATTCAAACACGTGAATAGCAGCATTTCCAAACAAGTGTGTAGGCAAGTCAGATCCTGGAGTGTAGGGATTAAAGACGTGTATGAGATTGGCTTTGCAAGGTTGGACCCACAGGTATCCATTCCTGTGGGTCACGTCATCATTAATAATGTGTGTTTTTGCCCTAGAGGCTTGTAGGTCAGTAACTGTTGGGTTTAATTACTTTTATTTTTTACTTTAAAATCATGAGGCTTTTCTTGTGTAGGGCTTTTATTTCTCCAGAAGGAAAACGTTTTCAGGTGTGTATTTATATGTTGTCTATGCATGATGATATATAGTATATTACAGCATCACATGATGATGTACTGAATGCCAAAGCGAAGTATTTAATGGTTTCATCAAATTAAGCATCCATTGGGTAATCTGTGCTTTGGAAGCATATACAAGAAAATTTGTTAAGTTAAAGGGTATTTGTATTCAGCTCATGTTCATTAGTTATTAACATTTTTTGGAACTTACCAAATTTTAAGTGAGAATCATCCAAAGGAATTACAGATGCAAAGGCAGACAGCAAATTTCACTAACTTTGGCTGGGAGTTAGAACTTCACAAACAGCTCAAAAATTGGTTTTTAATTCTCCTTCTTTTCTTTTTAAGGCACCTGATCACCACTGATCATTCCCTTTTTACCTCTCTCCCCTTGGTGTGAGTTGCTGGAGCAATCCAAACTTTCCTGTAAGTCTTGTCTCCCAGCTTGCATCCTGCCTTCCCTCCTTTAAGACCTGCTGCCCGTCCGGAGACTGCCGTGTCAGCCCTGTGCGGTGGTGCAGGACCAGCTTCAGATAAGGTGGATCTCCTGAGGATGTCGTGGGTGCTGGAGGGTTCACGATAAGGCAGGTCTCTTGCTGGACCTTGCACTCACGAAGCTGTCTAATGATCCTGTCTCTGGCTATACCACTGCAGCTTGTCTCTTGCTCTGCGATGCCACGTGGCAGCTGGTGGGTGACTGCTGGTGCACACGACGTCAATGCAGGAGGGTGATGAATGGGCCAGATGGCTTAACACTTTATAGTCTTCTTTCAGGTCAAAATACGGTGTAAATGTTTGCGGTAAGATAGCAGCCTTGCCTAGAGGGAAGTGTCACTAGCCCCTTCTCTTTGATGACTGGGTTTTCTGATTGCTCAGTTGTCCTCTGCATGGGATGGTGGGACACTGTTTTCTTCCCAAGGCCTCTTTAGCCTCCAGAGATAAATCAAACCTTAATAAATAGAAGAAGTCATCAGGGGATGTGCCACAGCACTGGCCTCCCTTCTGCATGCACAAAATGTCAGCACGGGATTTTGGTTTGGGGGCTGCTGGTGGGGTGGAGTGGAGAAGGGGCTTGGGCATTTATCAGAGAGGGTGGGAAGATGTGTGGGGCCATGGGTGAAAGCACAATGCAGGGCAGCAGTTGCCACATTGTCTGTGGAGGGTGGCTCCCCAGAGACCACTGAGCTTGGGAGATGCAGGAGGGATTTTGTTGGGCAGAATTTGACATTCCTCATACAATTTGTTTTTCATTCAGTTGCCCTTTTCATCTCTTTTCCTGTGAAATCTTTTTAGTTACAAATTTGTCTGAGGGAGTTCTTCCACAGCATTTTTACCTCTTAAGATTACAAACTGAGCTGACACACCAGGGATATATGTATCAGGTCAGAGAGGGAAGTCTTTCCTTCCCCAGCAAAGCCGTGTGATTGGCCTTGCTGAGGACCACCAGTGACTTCTGACCTGCCCCATTGTGTCGGGTGACCATTGGGTGCCTGCAAGTGATTGCTTTCTGGCAAGACCCCTCCATGAGCATTCCCTGCTGCTGAGCCCATTCTCTGCTGCACCCGGCCACCATGGGTTCAGACAAATGTCCATTCCCATCTTTAACAGGAGCAGACCAGGGCACACAGAATCATAGAATCACAGAATAGTTAGGGTTGGAAAGGACCTTAGGATCATCTAGTTCCAACCTCTCTGCCATGGTGACAAATATGCTGCTAAACCCCAGCTGCTTCTTTCTTCTGTATATGCTTGTCTCAACCATTTCTTCTTAAGAGTAGGTTTTACTGTAGGTTAGGCACAGAGTAAATGGAGCTCTGCCTGTTGCTGGCTTTCAAAACCAAATGTAACATGTTTAGGCGAAGAATCTGATTTCCCTTTTAATGTCAATGTAAACTGGCACCAGGGCATCCACAGTGAGAACCACATATGTGCCACGTGGTGTGATGGAGAGCAAACAGAAGCAGTGACTTGCATTTGGGTTTGACCCAGAGTTGATCTTCCCAAGTTAAAAGAAAACTCTGGGACTTCTGCTCCATTATATATACGTGTGGACTATGGGATGAGGTGACTCAGGGTCCCTCCAGGCAATTTTTCCCTTGAGTGACACTTTGGGGTTGGTACATCACAGAAGGAAGATGTCAAAGAGCGAAACTGCATGACACAAGTGAACGCTATTTACTGTTGCAGCCTAAACCCGTTCCTGTGAGGGGCCTGGTTGTCTCAACACCACCACTGCATCTGAAAATAAAAGCTCACAACTTGTAGTAACTTCACCAGGGGTGCAGGAGGCCCACGATGGAGCCGTGTGTGGCACAGGGTATGGTGGGTCAGCGCTGTGGTGGCAGTGGTAAGGGGGGATGCAGACACTCACACCCTCCTTATTTGTGTTTATCTTGACTCTGCAAGTACCATTTTTAGCTCTACAGCTGCTAAAAATAACCACCTTAAATTGATGGCCTGTGTTTGCATTAAGCTGTTAAACTGGCATTGGCCACCCAACACTGCACACCCAAACTGCTGCTTACTGCCTGTTTATAGCTTAAGTAAGATTCTTCAAGGTTTCTTTTTGGTAACTGGAGTCAGATGGATAATATTGATTGCACAAGCGTTTGCTGTTTCTTAGGGCAGCATTTTCCTGAGTTAAAAAGAACCTCAGCTTAGCTGAGCTGGATTTTACAGCTTGTGAGCTGTGAGCGGTGTGTGTCTCCCAGTGCTCTGGCCAGAGTTGTGGATGCAGATGCCCTAAAGTCAGGCTGGTGCCTGCCCCATGGGGGCTTGATCTGCTCCTGACCTGGCCCTCTGAGGCTACTGGGGGACACAGAGCTTGTGGGTTACTTCTGGAGGATGTTTGGTGGGCAGAACCTGTCCCAGGGCTGGCACAGGTGAAGGCAGCCTGGTGAGGCTATCTCTGTAGATAACCTCACCTCAGGACCACTCTGAGCAGCTC